TTTTCACGTTGTATCCTAATCTTTTTAATAAAACTCAAATCATGATGCCATCAGTTAGTAGTTAGATTCTTATAAAGTTAAATCAATTAGCCATGCTTAGTCGAAACAACTAGTTATCAAGAACGTTCTTTATGTAAAAAAAACAATTCAGGGAAGACTATATTTTCCTCTTCCTGACAATATCACTTACTAAAGTTACATTGTGTTATTCATAATTAAAACACACATATGTGCATATTTCAATATTAGGTCATTAACACATTATTTGGAAATGGGATTAACAACTAGCTCTAGAACCAAAGACGTGTAATAATTATGAAATCGTAAAGAATACAGTGGAATCAAAATCTATTTTAGATGAAAAGCATGTGATTAAACTTATCATCTAATAAGCGTAAATTAGACCAACGAAGGGCATAAGAGAATGACAATCATCCTTCAGATAGGTAGATTAGACATAAGGTCCAGATGATAATGAGAAATTATTATTATTATTATTATTACAACACAAAAATCGCTCTGATGTGAAATATTCGAAGACCACCTTCATTTAGGTCACTACTTGACTATGAAGATAGTTCTGGAATACTGATGAAGTTCAGTGAACAGTGTCGTAGTGAGGCACAAGAAACAAACTAATTGGTTAACACTATCTACCTGACAGTTTAACAAGGTAATGCATAGAAAAGCATTAAATTAAATTTTACTTGCGTTATTTAACAGGAACAGTACTATCTGATATTCTGAGAAAATCATATTGTATTTTAAAGTCTAACAATGAATTGGTTTAACCACGTGATTATGCAGTTAATCTATCTAAACAGTATGAAAAAAACTATTTCATACAAATTTTCAAATGACTTTTGAAACACATTGATTGTGATCCTCAAAATGACTACTACCAAAGAGTACTTATGTTTAAAATCTTTCTTGTCTGGTATCCTGGGTATCAAAAGTTTGTGCGACTGGAAATTTTTTCTCTAAAACCTACGAAGTATTGATAAAATCAAATATTAAATATTTGATTATAACTTAATGCTTCTAACAATTTATAATTTAAGAGTAGTAAGTCCAGATATTTATGTCAATCACTTAGATTATTAGACAAAAGTAAACCAATAATTACCAATCCTATTTTACAGTGGACAAAACAGTGCGTACAAATTATTGTATGCATATCTCGAAATACTTTATTTACATATCGAATAGTACTTGTGAGCGCTATTCATGAGTTTATTTTTGGACAGATTCCAAAACTACCACGCTAATAAAACTCAGTTCATGTGCAAAATATTTCACGTAACTTGGACAGGGTGTTTAATTTCCAAGTCAGTAATAATTGACAAAGTCACTCTAAACAAAGAAAAAATGAAAATGTTTTATTGTATTGTTGTGATTCGAGGGATAACAGATCCATAAATTTACCGTTTGTAGTGATCGTTACACTATGGTCAAAACGATAAGAGCTCACATTTGTACTGGGAAATAACCCAATAGTCCGTGTATCTGAGCAGTTGAATAAGTGCTAGTGGTGATAATTTCATAGGTAAAATCAATTCACATGTGTTAAGTCATAAAACCTTACACTTATCTGGACCATCTTCGGTGCAACATTTCTTATGACAAAATAGTTTATTGTACAACTCAGTAAAAAACTTTTTGTTAAACTAATTATAAATCTGACCAATACAAGCTGACGCTTAAAATACGAATGGGCGGTGGTCTCCCGAGTATTTTTCTTTTGATATTCTTCCTATTTAGTAAAAATTCTTGTCCAAACGAATGAAATATAACCACGTTATTTCCCCATCTGAATACCAATCTTTGTTACACACTACTGTTTTATTTATTTGATTCTAGAGTGATTTTTTTTCCTTTTTCTATTTATTCGCACCATTGCCACTTTAGTTAGTATGTTACACTCATTTTGATGCCTTTCTGAGAAACTTCTTTCGTTCCATAAAAACAATTACATGTAAATAATCAGTAAATTATTCGCTGATTATACTGGACGTTGTAATTGCAGCTCGGTAGCTGCCAAATCACAATTAACCATGACTTTGTATCATAAAATGAGTATAATGGATATATCCAGCTAGACGAAAGGAGTGACCTACTGTGCGAACAAGATATCAGTTTGCCATACAACAATTTACAGACATGATTTAATATGCTTCCACAGAGGAAACGATTATAGGGAACTATCGTGTACAAACTTACACTACTTTCTAGCTGCAAGTAGTATCAGTTGATAACGCTACTCATCCCAACTGCAATTTTACATCAATTGTTTTCGAGAACAGTACACTTCATAATTTACTATGAGCAAATTCCGAGGGCGAATGTGCTTAGATTTGAGTGATAATACTAAATACATATAATGGGTTATTTATGAAGTAAGAAAATTGCATCTTACCAGTAAATGAACAAACAAGCTTATGAGAGTTGCAAAACATGTCTTATCAATTGACTGCAATACTATAACAAGTTCAGATTCGCTTTATTCAGCAACAGAACTGCACACTCAATCCATCTGTTACATTTTGAAGAGTGCAGCCAATGAGTAATCTACAACAACCAGTAAACAACCAAATAATGCTAGATGCAATCGTAACTAGTACAATTACTTAAGCCTGGACCGTATGCAACACAGTAGTTATGAATACTGATGTCTGGGACTTCAATTAACGTACTTTAAGTCTGTTGATAATAAACCAATTAATTAGTCAAATTGTAAAAGTAAAGGTTTCGTTAAAGCTGAGATTCAATCTATGTTTGATGAGGAACCACAAGTATATCTCTTTTCTATGACAGGTAAAATACTAAAAACATAGAATGCTAGTGGTTTAAATCAACATGAAAGCCTGGATCTAAACTGACCGATATTTGCCACACACATAGAAAGCAACAGAAAATTTCAACTGATAAAAGATGAACATTACAGAGTAGTTAATTAATGATAAGACTTGTTCTCACTAAACGTCCAAATAAAATTGATAACTAAAATCGTACATTGTTCATGTGAAGAAATGCCTTACTGAGTTCCAACTGTGAATCATTGCAAAACACAACTTAATCCAACCTTTATCTCCCCCCCGGTAAATCATTAGTCCCATTATTCCTTCATATATTCCTTATTCTGAATTATAATTTTTATGCTTAGTTTTTCTTATTTTCATTCATACTACTACTGATTCCATGGTTTTGTTACACATCTTGTTAATTCCATCTCATTGTACTAATATGGTGAAGTTGATGTACATCTATTTCATGCTCTACATTGATAATATTTGCCCGATTAAACATGAGTTCTTATTTAACCACAGATAGTCAATACTGTGGGAACTAAAAATGAGCCAATATATTACTCTATAAATGTTTTAATTACGACGATGTTCAACACGTAGATTTTATTCCAACTTCTTAGATGAACAAAAGTAATTATTTCGTGAGTGCTATCTTAATATGATAGTCTTCGACAAGTAAGTCCTCTCTACAAAGAAAGAATATGTTAACCATATAATAACTGCGTAAATTTAGTGACTAAATAGTTCTTTGATTTCGATAAAGCAATGTCCTGTTATTAGGACAGTACTAGAGACTTCACGGCAATTTAACATATTATCTTATACACTCCTCTCTTAAATAAAAACCGTAGGCTTATAATAGGTGACGGGGTAAGATTACTTTGGCGTTAAATGCGCATCTAGTTCCACTTTGTATGAAATAATGATGTGTGGGCGAGAATGATAATGATTGGTTGTCTTGATGAGTCAGACATTAGACAGGATGACAGGTGTTATGTGTTATATATATTCCCCTATCCTTATTATGTATTGACACTTATTGACTGTTCCTTGTTGATGGACACTTATTGATTGACTGTTCTTTGTGTCGGATTTTGGAGTGGAAATATATTGACGTTATAGTCAGGCTCATCTTGTGTTCTTGGTCTGAGTTCTGTTGAAGTCCTGTAGAATAGACACTGGGTGGGAATCTAGTGTAGATATTCGTCTAAGATAAATTAACGTCCATATACGTGTAAGAAGTGAAAGGACTGTTATAACAGAAACCCCTAGAGTTATAACCAGTATCCTCTACGTTTATAACAATTAGCGACGGCATACCTACGTTTATATCAATTGGCGACGGCATCCTTACGTTTATATCAAATACCTAACCAGAAACTTTTACCAATTCAAAGCTATGATAAAATGAACTTGCATTCAAATATGCCAAACTGTTGACTTTTAATTAGAATCGAACTGTTCATGACCATTTAACAGTTGCATCTGATACACTGTAAATGTTCAAGATAGTCAAAATTGTGTTCCTTAATTACAAGTGTTCAGACGAACTCTAAGTCATCATCCAAGTATCTATAAACTTCAACTCCTTACACAACCAACACTAAACTCAAAATTTCAAGTGATACTATGACATTCAACGGCTAATATGAACAGAAAGGCAGACAAGATGTCTAGATTGAAGATTACAATTAAATAATTCCGATTTGCATTATCGATTTGTTAAGTAACAGGTAAAAATCTTGAATTGACTTTATTCATCCAATGGGTTTATTTCATCAGTTGAAGATTGGGAAAAATACAAATCAAGAAAAACGTATACAAAATTATTTATTACTGGGTAGTATATTGCCGGTTATATATTTATTAAAATGAGAATGCAACGAGAAGAGGATGTCCTTAACTATACAAGACCAAGATTTACTAACTGAAAACGATTCGGAACAACCTTCATAAACACCGTTGATACTTCGTACTAAATTACACCAATCACCTGCCATATCATTGCGAAATTGATAATTAACATTGAACTGATTATTCGCATGTGATCCAAACAGACTTGAAACCAGACAGTTGGACATTTTAGGTGCCACTTCCATTGGTGTGCATTGTTTACCACAAGCTTCACTCAAACACGTAACATCTCGATTAGCTAAACCACAAGGAACGATTTGTCTTAGCCATGAAAGTGGTTCAGTGGTACAGTTTAGAGCTATCCCATGGTATGTTATTGAACTGCTCTGGCGGATACCTAACTAAAAATAAATTTGAGTGAGAAAATAACAAATAACTTACGACATTCCAATAACATACAAAAAGATCTACCAACAAAACAAAATGTCCATTTAATAGGTCGATCAACGGAAAACTGATGAACAACCATTTGTACACATAAATAGAACAAACCATTTTGATATAATCTGGAACAAGTAACTTGACTATAACTAAAGGTTTTACACAGTAAACTCACTTTTTACAGATCAAACATTTTTGAAGCTTAACAATCAAAAACAAATATTACTTTGATTCGCTATGAAAATTAAACAATTCATGTAAAGCAATCCATTCCAAAAAGTGGGTGGAAGTGGTCAGAGGGAAGTGATTTATAGAGTGTAAGCTTACCTAAAAACCAAGAAGCGTATGGTGTTTAACAATACTTATTAATCATGAAATGACCCGACCGTAGCTGCTACCTTGACGTGGTGGTCAGGCTTGCCTATCATGATGACCCATCCGAGCTATATTTGGCTGGAACACATGTTCCTGTAGGCTCTACCATGCCAGGCAGGTCGGTTGGAGAACGGTAAGACTAAAATCAGTAACTCAAGGTCTGAGGGAGAAGTCGTATTGCGGACTGTAGAGGGATGTGATACCAGTAAGATGTTTCCCTCGGACAGCCAGCATCTGTAGCGATCCTGCCTCCCTACGACCAGGAAAGGGGTTAGAAAAAGTCAACCCTAAAAATGTCACGCCTCGCCTTACCTCATGGATTTCCGTCTCCGGCGGTGAGGCCCTTCGAAGAACGGAGCTAACACGCCAAAAATCCCCCGAAAAAAGCCGTGTGCGACCGGCCTCCAGCAGTTGTCCATCGGACTCTGCGGTCACGCTCCCTGGTCGTTAAGACCAACATTAATCCAACTTCCTTTTCAGGTCCCTCAAAAAATACGCTTCCATGGTGTGGGTAGCCGGGAAGTGACATCAGCCCTCATACCCGTAACAGCACACGAGACCAAGTTGGTCACAATCAAATCCTTCCAACACCTAATAACTCCTAACTCCACAACTTACCCTTCTCATGTTCCTTTATCACCTCGCGCGCTAATGTCAACGATTCCAGCACGCGGAACGTGATTCCTGGTCTCTTGAAATCATACATGTAGGAACTTTTAACGTCCGACCACTGTGCCGAATAGGACAACATCCTTCATTAGCGAGAACTTTAGGATCTCGAACCATCGATGTGTGCTACGTCTCCGAGAAGAGCATACAGGATTTGAGTAGCGTCATTCATCTAACCTCAACATGTCAAGATGAAAAACCGACTCGATTCACGTTTCGTGTATCCGAAAGCCATAGTGCTGCTTCCCGTGGTCTCGCTGGTGTCAGTCAGTCAGTCGCAACGTATAACTTCGTACGTACGTACATCAGTTCAAGTTGTCATACTACATTAGCACAGAGATACAATGGTCGATTCAAATCTCATAGTGGTAGAGGTAGTAAAAGTATAAGCAGTAATCCGAAAGGTTAGGGTTTGAAGATGTTATTGAAGGAGTATAATTCAGTGAAATAAATTTGGAAAAAGAAAAAAGAAAGGGACATGAATTCAGAAGATTGGAATTTGGGAGAAGAAAAAGAGTGGATGTTCCTGTGCCATTGCAAACGATTTTGAGCCATATCATTCAAGGTCTATAACCATCAGTTGCTATCGTCTCAACCAGGTAGTCTACACCTACCAACATGGCTCAGTCCACTTGTCAGTGACTTCATGGATTTGTGCTACATTTTGGTCTGGCCGCCCCTAGCTTTCTTCTAACCTACTCCTACACCATAAAACATCGCACATCGGTGGTTGGGGATACGTGACACATGTCCCAGCCATTTCACTACTTTATCAATCGATTTACCATCCTTACCTAGTGGCCGTTTCCTAACAACTGCATTACTTACCCGGTGGTCCCAGGATATATGAGCAATGCTTCGAAGACACCTATGATCGAATACTAGCAGCCTACGAATATCCTCGACTCTTACCGGCCATGTTTCACTGCCATAAAGTAGGACGGAACGAACTGCTACACAGTAAACCCGTCCTTTGGTTGCTAGATGGATATCTCGCCTACGCCATAAATGAAGCAAGTTGGCGAAAGCTAGACGAGCCTTATGTATCCGTGCTGAGATTTCGTCACACACCAGACCACAAAGGCTGATGAGACTCCCAAGATAAGTGAAGCGGTCAACACGCTCAACTACTTCACTCCCTATCATTAGTTCAGGTGCCGATGCAACCCAATCCTGAAGTAACATTTTGCACTTCGAAGGGGAGAATCGCATCCCGAACATGCCTGCATAGTTGTTTATAGTGGTCAGAAGACTCTGCATTTTGTCAGCATCTTCACCAAATAGAACTCTGTCATCGGCGCATTCTAAGTCAACAAGTGAGCCTCCCGGTAAAAGTTCAACTCCTGGAGATTGAGATGATGAAAGTGCTATCTCTAAAGGCATGTCAACGACAAATTTAAACAAGAATGGTAAGAATGGACAGCCCTGACGAACACCACTTGAGGCAATCAATTCTGATGAAAGTTCGCCATAGGCTCTAACTCGACCAGTTGTGTTCGAGTAGAGAGCCTTTATGAGGTTCATGTACTTCTTTGGTACTCCCTTCAGTGACAAACACTGCCATAGAACCTCACGATCAACGGAGTCAAATACCGTCTTGAAGTCAAGAAATACTACTATTGTGGGACGTCTGAATGTGTGTCTATGTTCTAGGACCCGACGTAGAGTGAATATCTGGTCTATACAACCACGTCCAGGTCGAAAACTAGCCTGGTTTTCTCTAGTCTCCTCTTCACGAGCTTTGGTTAGGCGTCGAAGTATTATTGAAGCTAATATTTTAGACACTATATTGGTCAAACTGACCCTTCTGTGATTGTCACAAGAGGACTTTTGTCTTTTCTTATAGACTGGCACAATCAGTGATTGGGATTAAGAATGAATAATGTGTCCATCTATATTTGAGATAGTTTCGCTGGTATTTGGGTTCCTAATACCGGTTTCTTTAACAAGTTTGAATAGTTGTTTGCTGTTACCTATTGCCGCTGCCTTTTCCATCTCTCTTGCTTTCGCTACCCATCACTGTTCACGATCATTGCGTAGGTTTCTTATTAGCCTTCGCTTAAGCTGACTTTGCTCTTCTTAATCCAGGGGATTGGATCGATGGGCAGAACACCTTAGGAATCAGTTGAACTTTTACCGGGAGGCTCACTTGTTGACTTAGAATGCGCCGATGACAGAGTTCTATTTGGTGAAGACGATGACAAAATGCAGAGTCTTCTGACCACTATAAACAACTATGCAGGCATGTTCGAGATGCGATTCTCCCCTTCGAAGTGCAAGGAAAGACATCTTTTGACATGGCGACTCCCGGATTCGTCCCAACGTTGGACCCAATTAGATCACATCGCTGTCAGCCACCGATGGAGAGGCTCGATAGAAGACTATCGCTCATTCTGGAGCACATGTTTAGCCTCAGATCATGCTCTTGTGCGAGCACGTATCTGACTGACTCTTACTGGACGTAGGAAAGACAGTGCAGGGAAGCCTCTAAGGGCTCTACTTAATGATAGGCAAGGTAAGAATATATTTCAGGAACAACTGGAAGAACAGCAATGGCTGTATTAGGAACCCAACTATCAGCGAAACTATCTCAGATAAAGATAGACATATTATTCATTCTCAATCCAGGAGATTGAATCGATAGGCAGAACACCTTAGGGAGCAGTTCAGCTGGCCTTCAGCCACACTTCAATTACCCACCATCCCCAGTCATCCTGAATGGCAAGTTGATGTAAGTCAACCAACTCTCTACGAGGTTGAAAATGCTATAGGAAATCTGAAGCGAGGGAGAGCAGCTGGCCCTGACAGGTTTACTCCTGAGATTTTTAAGGATCATGGTCCAGTACTAGCAACTAAATTGACTGAGGTCTTAGGTAGAATCTGGGAACTGGATGTAATTCCATCTGACTGATCCCAATCACTGATTGTGCCAGTCTATAAGACAGGACAAAAGTCTTCTTGTGACAATCACAGAAGGGTCAGTTTGACCAATATAGTGTCTAAAATATTAGCTTCAATAATACTTCGACGCCTAACCAAAGCTCATGAAGAGCAGACTAGAGAAAACCAGGCTAGTTTTCGACCTGGACGTGGTTGTATAGACCAGATATTCACTCTACGTCGGGTCCTAGAACATAGACACACATTCAGACGTCCCACAATAGTAGTATTTCTTGACCTCAAGACGGTATTTGACTCCGTTGATCGTGAGGTTCTATGGCAGTGTTTGTCACTGAAGGGAGTACCAAAGAAGTACATGAACCTCATAAAGGCTCTCTACTCGAACACAACTGGTCGAGTTAGAGCCTATGGCGAACTTTCATCAGAATTGATTGCCTCAAGTGGTGTTCGTCAGGGCTGTCCATTCTTACCATTCTTGTTTAAATTTGTCGTTGACATGCCTTTAGAGATAGCACTTTCATCATCTCAATCTCCAGGAGTTGAACTTTTACCGGGAGGCTCACTTGTTGACTTAGAATGCGCCGATGACAGAGTTCTATTTGGTGAAGATGCTGACAAAATGCAGAGTCTTCTGACCACTATAAACAACTATGCAGGCATGTTCGGGATGCGATTCTCCCCTTCGAAGTGCAAAATGTTACTTCAGGATTGGGTTGCATCGGCACCTGAACTAATGATAGGGAGTGAAGTAGTTGAGCGTGTTGACCGCTTCACTTATCTTGGGAGTCTCATCAGCCTTTGTGGTCTGGTGTGTGACGAAATCTCAGCACGGATACATAAGGCTCGTCTAGCTTTCGCCAACTTGCTTCATTTATGGCGTAGGCGAGATATCCATCTAGCAACCAAAGGACGGGTTTACTGTGTAGCAGTTCGTTCCGTCCTACTTTATGGCAGTGAAACATGGCCGGTAAGAGTCGAGGATATTCGTAGGCTGCTAGTATTCGATCATAGGTGTCTTCGAAGCATTGCTCATATATCCTGGGACCACCGGGTAAGTAATGCAGTTGTTAGGAAACGGCCACTAGGTAAGGATGGTAAATCGATTGATAAAGTAGTGAAATGGCTGGGACATGTGTCACGTATCCCCAACCACCGATGTGCGATGTTTTATGGTGTAGGAGTAGGTTAGAAGAAAGCTAGGGGCGGCCAGACCAAAATGTAGCACAAATCCATGAAGTCACTGACAAGTGGACTGAGCCATGTTGGTAGGTGTAGACTACCTGGTTGAGACGATAGCAACTGATGGTTATAGACCTTGAATGATATGGCTCAAAATCGTTTGCAATGGCACAGGAACATCCACTCTTTTTCTTCTCCCAAATTCCAATCTTCTGAATTCATGTCCCTTTCTTTTTTCTTTTTCCAAATTTATTTCACTGAATTATACTCCTTCAATAACATCTTCAAACCCTAACCTTTCGGATTACTGCTTATACTTTTACTACCTCTACCACTATGAGATTTGAATCGACCATTGTATCTCTGTGCTAATGTAGTATGACAACTTGAACTGATGTACGTACGTACGGAGTTACACGTTGTTGCCGACTGACTGAACCATTAAATGGATTTTGTGAATGTTGTTGATGGTGATGCTTTCCCTGAAGGAGATTATTTACGCCGGACAATATCATCAGAATCAAGCTATATTTCTCAAACAACAACAAATTATCTCAGCTCATGTTCAAAGCTTACCTCTGATTATTTATATGTGTTAATTTCACAAGACATCAATTAACGTCTGAGATTAAAACCTATATTGTAGAATGCTGTAAAAGCAAATAGTCAAATTTGTGTCTGTACAGATTTAACAGACAAATTTTAGGAATACTGGATCGATGAAACAGAGAATTTCTAGAAAGCATAATATTTAGGTCGATATGCAAACACGAAATATACTGACAGATTTAATTTATCATACTGTACGAACAAAATCAATTACATGATCGGATGACAATTAGAAAAGGCATTCAGAAGGTATGTAAAGACAAACGAAGACATTGAAACTTATTCATACAAATAACCTAAAACAGGTTCATCAGAACCAATCAGTTTAGTAAATGTGAAATAATTCCGAAAAATCTAGCTTTTACTTGAAATAGATGATAATGTTGTTGTGTTGAATGACAATTAAAGGTCAGAAATTAAATCATACGTATCTGAAAATGCAACAGCACTAAGTGTTCGGAAATCACTTTGGTTGGTACACCAAGCCTTAAACATTTAATAGACAATGTCGATCACTTAATCGTTGGGTATCTATACGACAACTTTTGACGACAAACGTTATATTTCAAAAATGCATTTCCATGTTTTCTATGTTTGAGCGGCAGAGAGTTAGTCGAAGGATTATTCTGCATGGTTACATCCAGATTAAATTATGCTTCGAAAATCGTCGGAGTCGAAACGTAGGAGTACATTGACTTGAGCACATACAAGTAGATTACAGGTTTAATCTAAACAAGTATTAGAAATGCAGCCTTAAAACACTAATGGCACCGAATAATAGACAGGTATCACATAGTTGTGATAATCTTAGTGTATTCTCCATATACACATAAAGTAACGTGCAACCGAAACAATCAAATAATTAAATATTAAAAATGCGAAACCTTTTATGATTAACTACTAAAACTATGCGAATGCATGATAAAGGAAAAAAGCTTACCAATAGCCATAACTTTGTGCCTAGAATCAGACCAAACACCAGTCTCTGAATCCTTACCAGCGAATGCAGTCACACCAAACTGTGCACACAGTTTGATCCCAGCTTCTTCTAAAGCCCCAACATACCACCTTAAACCACGACCTTGTAAAGATTTACACTGAAGATTAATTATCGGATAGGCTACGAGTTGTCCTGGGCCATGATACGTAATCAAACCTCCACGATCAGTACTGGAAAATATATTAGATTTGAGATACGCAATATTTGGGATGAATATTAGCTGAATAAGATAGTACCAATTACAATTGATATAACAGGGAAGATCAGTACGCAGAATCTCAAAATATCAACTGACTATTAAAATGAGTGCCATAATCCTACAGCTTCTTACAGATATCTCCGTCTTTCCTGAGGTACATACTTACATTGTCTCAGACAAAGTCACTTCCAGGACTATTTAGAAGTTGAGTAAACCTGATAAATAATCATTTTATTTAACTCGGTTTTGTAAACAGTTCTAGTCTAGTAATCTCATAGGATTGAAACGAACTTTAGGCGATATTTTATTATATAAACAGCCTGCCGTTTACGTATGTGTCAGTTAATCATCATAAAAGGATGTTAGGCCAACTTGCCACGCCGAAATGTAAATAAAAAGATAAATATAAGGATAAATCGATATAATTTAGACTTAAAATTGTAAATACGGTTTAAAAAGACAGATTGGTAAGGTATGGACGGAGGGATACTCCAATTCAAGATCGAGAGGAAGACAGAGTGAATGGATGCTCTGCATGGTGAACGATTCTGAGCCATGTCACTCATCGTCTCCAACCACTAATTGCGGTTATCATGCGGACCCCGATAAGACCGTCAAAAACCACCAGCATGTCTCAGACCAAGTCAAAAGTCATGGACTGGTTACATGTCTTGGTTCGGCTTCCGCAAGCTTTCTTACAACGTACAACTGCACCGGCAAACACCACTCATCGAGGTAAATTGCGATTAGCCACATGTAACACGTGTCCTAAACAGCTCGGTTAATGAAGATTCACAACCACATAAACCGAATTTCCATCACTACCCAGTACTCTATGCCTAACATCAACATTGCTCACTCAGTCATTCGAAGATACACGGGAAATGCTCCAAAGACACTTATGATCAGAAACCTACATATACTTTTTACATTAACAGATTACAATTTCACACCCATAAAGTAATAAAGTGGACGGTGTGTAATATATACACTGTTTGGTTAGTAAACAAACATTTCACTTGAGCCAAAAGTGACGTCATTTGACAAAGGACAACTGAACTTTCTGAATCCGTCCCCAGAAAATGACATAAAGTAATATGATATGGATTAGATTCGTAAAATGTAATTGATCTACCAAGGTTCGTGGATGAGAATAGCTGCACTTACTGAATCCTCCTTTTGATGCTTCGACGCAAGTTTGGGAATTTTGGGATTAATTACAGTGTTCCTACCTGCATTCTCGTGGCGGGGGTGTTGTTTACGAAATTGAGGGGACGAAAAGCGAATGTCCGGCGCCTTAACCGGGTTGGTGGACACGGAAAATTCATCTAGGGGAGTTGGAAAACCCTCATTCCAAACCAATCGTACACATGGGCTCCAGTATCCTGAAGGAACGAATGGCGTATGAACCTATTGTTGGTCACCGGCTACTATGGGACTGCATCTCCTCACGATGCTCTACTGCCTTGTGGATCAAACCTTTAGGTCAAAGGCTCGGGATGTGGCCCCCTAAGAAAACCACCTGCTTCAGTCTGGGCACCTGGGCAGTATCACAGCCCTCACACAAATCAAATGAGATTTGTGAGGCGCATATGTATCTGGTGCTTTTTTGTATCAATATTTATGTGTTTAAATAAATAAATGATAAATAATCCTACCTGAAATAAGCAAGCGGTTGGGGATAACGATGGTTAAGAACAGAGTATCTAGATCGTACAAGTGTATGACGGAAATGTTCTTAACAAAGCGTTATCCAGCCGTAAGAATTATGGCACCAAAGATGGTCGAGACTAGCATAGAGCGATCTTATACACACAAGCTGATTTAGTCTGTAAGATCGTCATCGTCAGCGCTTATGCAAATGCTCAGGTAAACACACTTCCTAATTCTTTTCAATGGTTCATCAAGAATTGAGTCCAGGTATGGTCTCTCACCACCCTTGTAGAAGTACTTTGCATTTTGACAATATAAATTAAATTTCCTATACGTATATTCTGATCACCAGCTGATTAAGTGACTTCACAAGCCTATACATCGTCCTCTAGTGGCTTTTACCCTGAGCTATGTATGACAGAGAAGGGATGATGGACAAACAGATGTAAGTCCTAAAGTCATAATACGGTCCATTCCACTAACTGATGTTTCCAGTCAGTGAAAGCGTCGGTAAATAACGCGCAATGTAGAAGACAATGAGATGACATCCGCAACATACGCCGAAACCAGAGGTTATAACATCAACAAACACGACTGCCAATCCATAATAAGCGAGATTGGACTCCATCACTTGGTGGATGGTAACGTGATCAACACATCCAGGATCACGAAAGAAACCAGCCCAGTCTCGGATTCCGAAACATTCTAAAACAACCCATTCAGTTCAGTCAGTCGTCAGTCAGCTACATTCATTTAGTTACTTGATGAGATGTTCGCCATCATCTTTAAGAGCCGGTGGTTAGATTGTTTATATCTAGTGGCTCGTAGTGCTTCGAAACTCGGGACTCCTCGAAGACTTCTGCTTTGTTAGATGAGTCAGCAGTCGCCAGCCAGAAAGTATATGACAGTCTGATCGTAATTGCAGAGGTAACACATCAGTAGAACAACTCCTCAGAAAAATCTGCCAGTCTTCTGGGACGCTTTTGAACGTTACTGGATGACGTACAACCCACCTCAAAAACTCTTTAACTGACACCAAAATCAGTGCCTTGAATATGTTGAGATAGCTTCCGACAAAAAGATTCACAATTACTCCAGAACTACCATCCATTTGGTTGGTATTATACCGTTTAAATCGTACTAAAGACTAGCAAACATTCTTGTAAAATTATGAAGAACCTACGCACCCTATGAACAATTTAAAAATAGCAATACCTTGAGGACCTTATAGAACCACCGAGCAACTGTTTAATTCGATCTATACACAATCCCTAAAACCTACCTAATAAATATATGTATTGCATTATTTTGTTATTCTTTATTATCAATCGAAATTTTGGATAGACACATGAAAATAATCAATCCAAAAAAACACAACTGACCTAACAAATTCAGCCCCAAGACTTTTTAGACGTTTAATGGTATGCTCACCATAGTCATTCATAGGATCTGTGTGGCGTATACCAATAGTGTAAACTGGACAGTGTTCCAGAAGTAAGATACAATGCACCGAAGGACTATCAAAAGACTTCAGTAGTTTGACAGTAGATTTCTGAAGATCCCATGCAATGTTATATGGCACGCAACCGAGATAAAAACTCAACACAGAGACTTTCATTGCCGATAATGTTCGTATGATCTAAAGTACCTAGAGTATGAAAATGGTTAACACAACTATTGGACTGTACCAAGAAACCTTGTTAGGTCTACATAAATAAAAATCTTATCTGTAAAGTAAGCAACGATAAGCAAAATTAATAGGACAAAACTCGATAATTAGCAGACTCAAATGAGCTGAGCTTTGTACTTAAATGCGCAATGAAGTATTTACAGATGATTGGAAAATTCGACAATTGGTTTTCAGCGTCAGTGGGTGTGGATTAAGCCTACGTCTACGGCATCATTCAATCTACCTACCTACGTCTTCAGTCTTCAGTAATAAGGATAGTAGGTTGATAAACCTGTGTTAATCCTGACAGATTTCCTTCCAGTGAAGGTCCAGCTTCTTTTTGAAAATGTTCACTGAAGGTGCTGATACCACTTGTTCTGGTAAAGAGTTCCAGTCATTGACTACTCGATGAGAAAAACGGGACCCCACCTTTAGTTTATTAGATCGCGGTTTCTGAACCTTCTTGCTATGACCTCGGAGATTATTAGTGCTGGAGGGAGCAAAAAGATAAGACATATTAACACCCAGATCATAAATAAAGATACGAAATGCCAGTATAAGGTCACCTCGCGTCCTACGATAAGATAAGGGGAAAAGATTTAGACGTTTCAAACGCTCATCGTAAGGGAGTTTGGAAAGACCCTTTACTAATTTTGTCCCCACACGCTGGACACGCTCAAGCGATTTAGTATCCTTTATCAGACATGGGCTAGCTGCTTGGATACAGTATTCTAAGTGTGGCTTTACATAGGTGGGATATAAAATTTGAAACATATCCTCGTCAAAGCATTTAAATGCTCGGCGAAGTGACCATAGCGCGCGATAGCCTTTGGAAGCAACCGCATTGCAGTGCGTAGTAGTTTTTAAGTCGTGACTTATAATTACTCCTAAGTCTTTGTGCTCATGAACGCGTGGCAGAGATGTATCATTAATGGTATAATGGTAACTAATATCGTGCCCGATGTGCATGAACACGCTCTTCCTGGAATTAACTTCCAGGCCCCAATCATGAGCCCACCTAACTAATTCGTCTAAATCTGCTTGCAGATAACAACGATCAGTCTCATTTCTTATTGTTCTCCAGATTTTAACATCATCCGCAAACAATAACGTCGACGACTTAAGTAATAAAGGTAATTCATTAATATACAGAAGGAAAGAGGGCCTAAGATGGTGCCTTCGCGTACAGCACTTTTGACCGGTTTCCATTCGGATAGCGTTCCATTGACCCTCACACTGTCTGCGGTCACATAAGATGTTTCCTATCCATTCCTGTATAGCACCTGTTATACCAAAGCTCGAGAGCTTTTGCATAAGACCTAAGTGTGAAACCTTATCAAACGCTTTGCTAAAATCTATGAATATCACGTCGACAGACTGGCCGTTGTCTAGGGCAGCTGTCCAATCCTCTCTCGCAATGAGTAAGTTAGTCAAGCATGAATGCTTGTTACGAAACCCATGTTGCTCGGGAGTTAACAGATTGTACAAATTTATGTGACTCAGTAGCTTAGCCCGAATTAATTTTTCAAGTAACTTAACTACTATACTGGTCAGGCTAACAGACCGGTAGTTAGATACGATCCGTCTCTGACCATCCTTAAATATAGGACTAACTATGGCGTCTTTCCAGTCTCTAGGTAGTTGAGCCTGTGAAAAGGACATGTTGAAGAGCGTCGCCAGCGGTCTTGAGATAATGTCCGCAGGCGACGACAGCAAACGTGGGTGTAACCCATCGGGGCCCGGTATCTTACAAGGTTTTAGGTTAGTTATCAAAGGAAGAACAATATCCTCTGTCACGTGCAAAGGTCCTATGGCTGGTATCTCATTGTCAACGGGACAAGTAGTTGTAACACTACACGTAGAGTAGACTTCACTGAAATAGTTAGCAAATGTCTCCGCAATCGCTAGATCAGATTCAGCCAATACAGCTGAATTTTCGCTTAACAGTAACGAGGGTATACCATCACTACGTTTTGTCCGCCTTTTAACATACGAAAACAGTCGCTTCGGACAGGTACGGCTATCGCATGCCAACTGTCGTTCGTAAGCCGTGCGGGATTTAGCTATGGTCTTTTTATATATATTCCGGATTTTCTTATATTCGTACTTAAATGATGCCTGACCTGTTGACAAGAATAAGTCCCAGAAGTGTTTCCTACGCTTCAACAGCTTCCGGGTTTCCTTATTAATCCATGGGGGGCAATATGATAGCTTACGTGTTGACCATGGGATAAACGGTTGAGGTACGGATTCGAACGTAAACTTGAACCTATTCCATGCATCATCAATCGATCCATCAGCATCGACCGACCAGTCAATTGAGATAGCATAGTCCCTTACTGCCGGAATATTAGCTCTCCAGATGTTAGGACGGGGTGGAGCAGATGCAAATTCTATACCATGTGTCCGGAACTTAAAGGAAAGTACGACATGGTCACTATTCACTAGTGGGGGAAGGTGTTGAATATCAACGATATCTTCACAGTGGTGTGTGAGGACTAGGTCTATCAATGACGGATTATGTTCCAAGTCTATATGCGTCGGCTTAACGATACATTGTACAAGTGCACATTGAATAATTGATGACAGAAGGACGCTATCGAAACCCCCACCTGGAGCTGTGAGCTCTATCCAGTTTATACGGGGTGCATTGAAGTCTCCAACGATGAGACAACATTCTGCTTTACTCCAAGAACAGACGTGTTTTAGGATAAAGTCGTCAGCGAGACAACACGGACTACGATATATTCCTCCTATCGTCACTAACCCGTTTCTAGACCTAATTGTACAACATACTACCCCACACGTACCCCCTACATGCGCCTCCGATATGATTGAGTTAATGCGGAAGTGGTCTCTAATATATAATATTATGCCTCCTCCCTTGCGACTTCTAACTCTATCACTTCTGATACAGATGTAGCCTGAAATGACTGGAGAACAGTCTATATCTACAGTGAGCCAAGTTTCGGTGATAACAATTATATCCGGATTTAAGTCGTCTACCATCAAACTTAGCTCAGACATCTTATTCCGAAGACTACGGGCATTCGTATAATACACATTTAGGGTGTTTTTGGAGACATGCGTTCTACCCACACAGGTCTCGGAAGCATTGGCTTCCAAGACCTGACTACCCGAATACCCTTAATCGTAAGGTTCGCTTCACCGTTTAGCTTTCGAGTTTTTAACTCTGTTAGGGCATTCTTCCACTTGATCCGATCCTCAAGTGGCCAGTCAGGTCAAATACGAATGTTTGAGTCACGGGTTTTGCGTGTGTTATTTAGTAATACGTTCCTTTCCTCAAAATTACCGAGTACTAATTTAAGGATCCTTCTCTGTTGGGTTTCGCCTCCAACATACTTACCAAGTCTGATGACTTTCGAGATATGTACCCCTGGGACCTCATCGGGCAGTATATTTCTGATGAGAGATCCCACTAACTGCAGGTCGTGGGCATGTCTCTTAGCGGGATCGGTGTCTTTCGATTCTGCCAAGTTCCAGATGATTACACTAGGCACCTGTTTAACTTCCTTAAAAGTCGTGTTCACGGCCTTTGACCGTGATGTCAGATCCTACCGGTTAGCTACCGGCTTCTTACTGTTAGCTTTCTTTATAACAATGTCATATGGGTCGAGCGAGTGACTCACAACAACATTTGGTGAAGTTAGACTATTTCGATCCACAACAGTATTAAATATTTTTTTACATTTGGACTTGAGCGGAGTTGCCTGATGCGCAGGACGTGAGTCCAACGATGACTTATCGAATATACGCGCGCTTTCTTTGGGTATTTTTCCGTCTCTTTTGCGTTTCCGCGTAATCCATTCACCACTAGTCTCAGCATTCAGATTGGAACTACACTGGACGATAGTGGTTCTAGCCGGGTCCTCAGTCGCTGCTAAAGCAACTTGTCCCTCAATACTTAATGGCATGTCTTTCATTGGTTGTATCGGAGTAGAAATTTTTGCTTCATGTTACAAAATTGGGTGTCTGGTACCTGCCATGGCAGCATTTACGACACTGATACAATCTTCATTATCAGTATCCATGTTGCCGGCACGGCCTACGTCGACCTTTTTAGCTAACGCTAGAAGGCTGATGGCTTCCTGAATGAGTAATGTCTTGCTTGAGCAACAAAACATACAGAGCCAATGAGAATTTGGTTTCGAGCACCTTTTATAGGCAGCAGGGCTTAAGCGGGTGCACATTTTATGAAACCACTTTTTACATTCGTCACATTGCATCCCATCTTCCACGGGGAATAAGCAATATGGCTGTCCACACTTGTGTACAGAGCCGACCATCTTAGAATGAAGCGAAATGATAGGCAAGGTAGATATGTAAGATAAATCACAACCTTATCAAATAAACAAGCCGCAGTCGACCAAGAATGCCTTGATGCAGTAAATACACAAAAGCAGGATCAAAACACACAAATACAATGTCACGTTAACTGAAATAAATTCAATTAAAGTGTAAACGGTAAATTTGATACGTAATTTACGATCAAAACAGTGAATTAAGCTCAACGTGAAACAGTACCACCGTCCTTTTAAATAGCGCGCACAATGTATAACCAAGCCCAGGCTAAGATACAGAATTGCCAGAAAATGCAGTACCCGTGATGAGAACGTTTGTTACAAACAAAGCAGATAGCATGGATTAACTCCGTGAATAAGAACACCAGCAGGTGGAGAACAGCGACATCACTCGGCTGAGCACTTGAAGGTCAAACTGTAGTAAAATGATTGGTGCGCAACTCAACAATAAGTAAGGTTTTTGCAGAAGCGGTCAAATAAAAAAAAATTTTAGATTTTAATTGAGTTCAGCCACACTCTGTCTGATAACGTCAATCCTTCAAGCAACGAAAGTAATGCCATCGTAATGATATAAGATGAACCTTCAATAATATTATGTTATCGCGACGATTTACAAATTGGGACAATTTTGAAACCTGTTTGAAATTATATAAGGTACTAAGACTTCTGTGGCTGATAATTATTTTTACAGTATGCACACACTAAGTAAGTCATGTCTTTGAGCGCGCGAGTGGTGGGAAATGGATTACGCGGAAACGTAAAAGAGAAGGAAAGATACCCAAAGAAAGCGCGCGTATATTCGATAAGTCATCGTTGGACTCACGTCCTGCGCATCAGGCAACTCCGCTCAAGTCCAAATGTAAAAAAATATTTAATACTGTTGTGGATCGAAATAGTCTAACTTCACCAAATGTTGTTGTGAGTCACTCGCTCGACCCATATGACATTGTTATAAAGAAAGCTAACAGTAAGAAGCCGGTAGCTAACCGGTAGGATCTGACATCACGGTCAAAGGCCGTGAACACGACTTTTAAGGAAGTTAAACAGGTGCCTAGTGTAATCATCTGGAACTTGGCAGAATCGAAAGACACCGATCCCGCTAAGAGACATGCCCACGACCTGCAGTTAGTGGGATCTCTCATCAGAAATATACTGCCCGATGAGGTCCCAGGGGTACATATCTCGAAAGTCATCAGACTTGGTAAGTATGTTGGAGGCGAAACCCAACAGAGAAGGATCCTTAAATTAGTACTCGGTAATTTTGAGGAAAGGAACGTATTACTAAATAACACACGCAAAACCCGTGACTCAAACATTCGTATTTGACCTGACTGGCCACTTGAGGATCGGATCAAGTGGAAGAATGCCCTAACAGAGTTAAAAACTCGAAAGCTAAACGGTGAAGCGAACCTTACGATTAAGGGTATTCGGGTAGTCAGGTCTTGGAAGCCAATGCTTCCGAGACCTGTGTGGGTAGAACGCATGTCTCCAAAAACACCCTAAATGTGTATTATACGAATGCCCGTAGTCTTCGGAATAAGATGTCTGAGCTAAGTTTGATGGTAGACGACTTAAATCCGGATATAATTGTTATCACCGAAACTTGGCTCACTGTAGATATAGACTGTTCTCCAGTCATTTCAGGCTACATCTGTATCAGAAGTGATAGAGTTAGAAGTCGCAAGGGAGGAGGCATAATATTATATATTAGAGACCACTTCCGCATTAACTCGATCATATCGGAGGCGCATGTAGGGGGCACGTGTGGGGTAGTATGTTGTACAATTAGGTCTAGAAACGGGTTAGTGACGATAGGAGGAATATATCGTAGTCCGTGTTGTCTCGCTGACGACTTTATCCTAAAACACGTCTGTTCTTGGAGTAAAGCAGAATGTTGTCTCATCGTTGGAGACTTCAATGCACCCCGTATAAACTGGATAGAGCTCACAGCTCCAGGTGGGGGTTTCGATAGCGTCCTTCTGTCATCAATTATTCAATGTGCACTTGTACAATGTATCGTTAAGCCGACGCATATAGACTTGGAACATAATCCGTCATTGATAGACCTAGTCCTCACACACCACTGTGAAGATATCGTTGACATTCAACACCTTCCCCCACTAGTGAATAGTGACCATGTCGTACTTTCCTTTAAGTTCCGGACACATGGTATAGAATTTGCATCTGCTCCACCCCGTCCTAACATCTGGAGAGCTAATATTCCGGCAGTAAGGGACTATGCTATCTCAATTGACTGGTCGGTCGATGCTGATGGATCGATTGATGATGCATGGAATAGGTTCAAGTTTACGTTCGAATCCGTACCTCAACCGTTTATCCCATGGTCAACACGTAAGCTATCATATTGCCCCCCATGGATTAATAAGGAAACCCGGAAGCTGTTGAAGCGTAGGAAACACTTCTGGGACTTATTCTTGTCAACAGGTCAGGCATCATTTAAGTACGAATATAAGAAAATCCGGAATATATATAAAAAGACCATAGCTAAATCCCGCACGGCTTACGAACGACAGTTGGCATGCGATAGCCGTACCTGTCCGAAGCGACTGTTTTCGTATGTTAAAAGGCGGACAAAACGTAGTGATGGTATACCCTCGTTACTGTTAAGCGAAAATTCAGCTGTATTGGCTGAATCTGATCTAGCGATTGCGGAGACATTTGCTAACTATTTCAGTGAAGTCTACTCTACGTGTAGTGTTACAACTACTTGTCCCGTTGACAATGAGATACCAGCCATAGGACCTTTGCACGTGACAGAGGATATTGTTCTTCCTTTGATAACTAACCTAAAACCTTGTAAGATACCGGGCCCCGATGGGTTACACCCACGTTTGCTGTCGTCGCCTGCGGACATTATCTCAAGACCGCTGGCGACGCTCTTCAACATGTCCTTTTCACAGGCTCAACTACCTAGAGACTGGAAAGACGCCATAGTTAGTCCTATATTTAAGGATGGTCAGAGACGGATCGTATCTAACTACCGGTCTGTTAGCCTGACCAGTATAGTAGTTAAGTTACTTGAAAAATTAATTCGGGCTAAGCTACTGAGTCACATAAATTTGTACAATCTGTTAACTCCCGAGCAACATGGGTTTCGTAACAAGCATTCATGCTTGACTAACTTACTCATTGCGAGAGAGGATTGGACAGCTGCCCTAGACAACGGCCAGTCTGTCGACGTGATATTCATAGATTTTAGCAAAGCGTTTGATAAGGTTTCACACTTAGGTCTTATGCAAAAGCTCTCGAGCTTTGGTATAACAGGTGCTATACAGGAATGGATAGGAAACATCTTATGTGACCGCAGACAGTGTGAGGGTCAATGGAACGCTATCCGAATGGAAACCGGTCAAAAGTGCTGTACGCGAAGGCACCATCTTAGGCCCTCTTTCCTTCTGTATATTAATGAATTACCTTTATTACTTAAGTCGTCGACGTTATTGTTTGCGGATGATGTTAAAATCTGGAGAACAATAAGAAATGAGACTGATCGTTGTTATCTGCAAGCAGATTTAGACGAATTAGTTAGGTGGGCTCATGATTGGGGCCTGGAAGTTAATTCCAGGAAGAGCGTGTTCATGCACATCGGGCACGATATTAGTTACCATTATACCATTAATGATACATCTCTGCCACGCGTTCATGAGCACAAAGACTTAGGAGTAATTATAAGTCACGACTTAAAAACTACTACGCACTGCAATGCGGTTGCTTCCAAAGGCTATCGCGCGCTATGGTCACTTCGCCGAGCATTTAAATGCTTTGACGAGGATATGTTTCAAATTTTATATCCCACCTATGTAAAGCCACACTTAGAATACTGTATCCAAGCAGCTAGCCCATGTCTGATAAAGGATACTAAATCGCTTGAGCGTGTCCAGCGTGTGGGGACAAAATTAGTAAAGGGTCTTTCCAAACTCCCTTACGATGAGCGTTTGAAACGTCTAAATCTTTTCCCCTTATCTTATCGTAGGACGCGAGGTGACCTTATACTGGCATTTCGTATCTTTATTTATGATCTGGGTGTTAATATGTCTTATCTTTTTGCTCCCTCCAGCACTAATAATCTCCGAGGTCATAGCAAGAAGGTTCAGAAACCGCGATCTAATAAACTAAAGGTGGGGTCCCGTTTTTCTCATCGAGTAGTCAATGACTGGAACTCTTTACCAGAACAAGTGGTATCAGCACCTTCAGTGAACATTTTCAAAAAGAAGCTGGACCTTCACTGGAAGGAAATCTGTCAGGATTAACACAGGTTTATCAACCTACTATCCTTATTACTGAAGACTGAAGACGTAGGTAGGTAGATTGAATGATGCCGTAGACGTAGGCTTAATCCACACCCACTGACGCTGAAAACCAATTGTCGAATTTTCCAATCATCTGTAAATACTTCATTGCGCATTTAAGTACAAAGCTCAGCTCATTTGAGTCTGCTAATTATCGAGTTTTGTCCTATTAATTTTGCTTATCGTTGCTTACTTTACAGATAAGATTTTTATTTATGTAGACCTAACAAGGTTTCTTGGTACAGTCCAATAGTTGTGTTAACCATTTTCATACTCTAGGTACTTTAGATCATACGAACATTATCGGCAATG